CACAATGCCAATTTCACTCACTGTTGTCAGGTCTGTTTGTCCCTTAGGAAAAAAAAAACATCTTTATGAAACGTACCAGCAAGAATCTAACAGCGTCTGAATTTTCCTGACCAAACTTTATGAGAAGGAGCGCAGAGCTAGAAATAAACACGTAAAATTATCATTATTATTATTTTTTTTACATATGAGCTAGACAAAAAGTACACTTCCTGGATATTATACATGTTGATCATTAAATAATACAAGTTTCATGAATGAATTTTTCTTTTAACCCAACTTTTTTAAAAATGATGAACCTCGGTTTACCGAGGCGGGAAAAAAAGAAGAGCGAGACGTCAGTGCTGCGTTGATGTGTAAACACTTTCATTCCAGTTTGAACAGGAATAAGCAGGTTTTACACACGAGAAGTAAACTGGGAGAATCAAAAAATTGGAAAAAACAAAGTAAAAAAACAAAACAAATCACACATTAGAAAAGCTAAAGTTTTCCTTTTAGAGTAGGCAGTTGGAGGAAGTGCAAATCTTTAATAAAAACCTGATTAAGAAATAATTTATTATGTTAAACAGGTCACCTCTACCAGCTAAATATCAAATCATCCCGTTTAAAAAGAGAAAAACAACTTCTGTGGGAGATCAGATTCAACTGCAGCATAAACGGTTTATTTGGCCAACTGTGTGTGTGTTTGTGTGTGTGTGTGTTTGTGTGTCTGCAGGACCAAAACCACGAGCTCTGCTGGCAGCCCGCCGCAAGTGCTGCTTGAAATAAAACAAGAAATAAGTGCTTTTATGAAACAAACGTACACGAGTCTCACATCGGTTTTGGTCACCAGTTTGTTGCCAGCAGCTGAATCCAATCACCCTTTTTTTATTTATTTTTTATTTTGTTTGGTTTTGTTTTTGCACATTCTAACCCGACACCTTTTGATCCCAGGGGTTAGGAAGTCATTTTTGTTTGCGAGATTAGAAGGACGACGCCGCGGTTTTAAACACAAACACAACCGGAGAGAGGTATTTGTAGGAATGTCACTCGTTTTGTTTTGTTTTGTGTTTTAAACTGAGATTTGTCCCGTCTGCGTTACAAGCTCTGCTGCATCTGCACAAAAACGTGTTTCAAAGAAGGAATTTAAAAATATATATTAAAAGAAAAGCAAAGGTTGTAAAACATGATGAAGCTGCAGCTTAATTTGTGCATGAAACAATCTGATTAAACTTTGACTGTGAGCTGAAATAATTTAATTTATATGTAAACATGGAGGCTGAGAACTCAACACTTAATGTACAAATCACACAATCTTTCCATATAAAGCTGTAACTCAGTTATTATTGGCGTTCTTGATTATTTSTTACGTCTCATAATATTTATACGGCGGTGAGAAGTACAGTAACGTTTCACGTCTTTACATGTTGGGAGCACATTTTGTCTTTATTTATAGCTTTTTTTAGGTCTAGGTGTTTTTTTCAAACTTGTATAAAATGCATATATTTATCAATAAAATACAAAAGTAAGACTAATTAATCATTTCTTCATATCTTAATAGTTGCAAAAGTCCTGAACTTTTAAAAACGTTCTTAATAAAACGTAGGTATCAGATTGCCCCGACATTCAAATATTGATTCAGACACTGATTAACTACAAATGCAGAAAAAYATGTTCAGAACGTTAAAGACCGGGTTCAGAACATCATTTGTTTTAATACCTCTGCTTATTGTTCCCAGTTGTAATAAAAACATCTGTTTAAAATAATAACTAAGAAATAAATGAAGCACTAATCTGATGTTTTGTTTTTACACGAGTGTTTGCTGCAGCTTTACTTTTGAAACCAGAGTCTGTGCACTTACACTGCACTCTGTCACGGCGCCAATTCCTTTGACTATCAAACATTTTAATAACCAATAATRCAGCCAAATGTCTTTAAATAAATTAATATCTGAGCACGGAGCAGCAAGATCAGAACAAAGAACAATCTCAGGTGTACTTCTTATTGAGGACAATGTCCTGTTTGTTCACATGGAGGGGGCGGGACTTCACTTGTACAGGAACCAGCCTAAGAGGACGCTGCTCCCAGTCCAGCTTTAACTTTCAGGATCACGTTTTAGAGTTGTTGTTTTTTTATCAGAGTTGTTGCTTTAGATTCTAAAGAAATATACTAATTTTTGAATAGTGAATAAAAGTGAGAAAAATATTCTAAAAGTTGTTAATTTGTATATTTTGTAGCATTGTTTGTGGGTTTGCTAGAAGGTCCTTGGCCAGAGCTAATGCTGTTTGGGGGGGCCATGGCATGAAAAAGTTTGGGAACCCCTCATTTAAAATGTAATTACAGTGAGACGAGCAGATTTTATGTTAAAATGACCTGCCATACATCTACAGACTGAACACATACCACTGTGCTTATGTATTGCTCAAGCGGAAGAAAAAGTAGTTCCCTCCAACCACATATGATTTAGACATGATTTGAATAGTTTAGTTGTTTTCCTCTATCTTCCTGTTAATGATATCCATTATGTGAAATAACTAAAGTATCGATGTTTTGATTTTAGTATCGATTCTAGAACATAAAGTYCTGGTATCGGTAGTATCGATATTTCAGTATCGATCYGCACATCACTACAAAGAACGGGCTTTTGATAAGTTCACGTGGACACTCTCACCACCTAGTGGCGCTGCGTGGGTATGTGTGTGAGAACGTGTGGACCCAGTCCAGGGCAGCAGAGTGTGGACAGGGGCCTGAAACCAAAGACGAAACACTAACGTGTGGATCTTTTTTTCACATGATATGACAGCTGGAATAGACTTGGCGTGCGCGGGCTATAATCCTGAGCGGAGCGTTCAGCCAGGCTGGGATATAAGCAGACCAAACACTAAAACAGAAAACAAAGCAGAAATATCCAATCTGTGGGATCATCCCAGGGATCCTCCAGTCCTGAGGAAGCTCATGTAACGCCACACAAAGTGAACCCTAAAACCTGATGCTTTAAAGTGCACCACCAGAAAACCCATCTTTGGACTCGCTTGGATGAACCAGCTCTTATTTTGACAAGAACTAAAAGTAGGTAAGTGCATGCCAGATAAGACAAAATAAAGAAACGAAGCAAAGTTTCCCTTAAAAGGATAATTACCCCCACCCTCCTCCCACCCTGAAATGATGCTGGAGCTAATGATAGGTTGCCAAGAGGCACAAACGCGAGTTATTGCTCAATAAATACCAAAGGTTTATTTTTAAGCCAAATGTGCGTCGCTGCATCGAGAAGATGTTGTGGAGCAGTCAAACTGAACAAACCGTGTTGCAATACTCTCTGGAAATTAAATTTCAGATTGCAAGAGATTTCAATCTTCAGGCGCTAGCAAAAGTTGAACTTTTAAATTACCTATCAGAAAAAAAMAAAACAAGAAACCCRCCCCCCCCACAAAGAAAAAAATTAACTTAGTCATTTAGACGCATCAAAAATATTCAGATTACACTTCTTTGACTCAAGTTTCATAATTTATGGCTTTATAAGTTAAACACTAAGAAAACGCTTCAATCTACATCAACGTTTCACCCACAATATACAAGATAAATTAATTGGTTTAAAGCAAAAAAAAAAAAAAAAGGATGATTGTCCACACCTGTTCAGGTAACAAACTCTCCATCTGCTACTCAGTGCTTAACTTGCATCTCGTTATTGTCGTACAAAAACACGCTCTGCAACAAAAGCCTTAATGAAGTACAAACTTGATACAAAAAGAGGCAGTTTTTTTTTTCTTAATAAATCTGGGTGGAGCATCCCTCGGCTGGAGAGTAAAAAAAAAAAGAAAAAAGTGGCGTCTCATCTGCGCGGGCCGAGCGAACCAAAAGTGTTTGTTTGATTTGTTGCAGCGAGAGCGAGTCCCTTTGTAGCGCCGGGGTCAAAACACATTCCAGGAAGACAAGTCAGGACTAGTCTGTTCTTTTACTTCATGTTTTTATTCTCCACCTTATTTCAAAGCAAAAGGTAGAGATAGCTGATGAGAGCCCACCCCCCACAAAAAAAAAAAAATCCCCTTTTCCTCGATATAAAAATGTTTTTTGTGCTTTGAAACGCGACATCAGTTGACTCTAATCTTTAATACGGCCTCCAGACGGCTTCATCCATGCGCCCTCCGGGGTTCAGAACGGTCGGGGAGTTACTGTGGCTCCCGTCTCCGTCCACCCCTCCCTCCGTCTGGGTGGGGAGGTTGGGGTTCACCAGGGAGGTGCCCGTGGAGGCGCTAGTGCAAGGCGGGATCATCCGGGAGGGCGAGCGGTCCCCGCCGGGAACCATGGAGAACTGGTAGGAGTTGGAGGAGGCGCCGTAGTAGAGATAGGGCGTGCTGCTGGTCTGGAAGGGCCCGCTCTGGTTCTGGGTGGAGCCCGGGTACGGCGGCGGGAGGTAGTGGTAGTGGGCGCTGCCCAGCGACATGGCCGAGGTGACGGGCGGCGAGTACGTGAACGTGGCCGGGTAGTGCATGCGCGGGCCGGAGAAGCGGCTGTCCGTGATGGAGGAGAGGCTCGGGAACTGGCGCTCGAACTGACCGGGGAACGGGCTCAGGTCGGAGGAGCCTGGAAACACACACACACACACACACACACACACACACACACACACACACACACACACACACACACACA